TTGTGGTTTCTTGTCTCCAACCTACTAGCGATGGCCTCTCAACCTGCTTTCGATGGCCTCTAACCTAAGAGCGATGACCTCCAACTTTGCACCAACTTTGCAAGCTGTAAGCAGTGGAGCTTTCCCTTTACCCACCTTGGTTTCTGAGGTTTTTCACTTAGGCTGGCGCGTGGCACCGCTATCAGTTCCGTATGCGTATCCATAAGTGTGTGTGTGTGTGCGTGTGTGTGTGTGCCCCTTGTAGTCACAGGGATCCACTTGGATTATACTTTCTGTGCTGGCTTTCTTTTCTTTTTTCACCAGGGGGACACACCATTTCACTGGGACTGTGTCCAACGAAGCTACCAGTGAAATGGGGTATCCAGCTTGGCCAGCTGGACATACCTGCAACAATTTTTTAGTTTCCGTAAAGGGCTAGTGCACTCGGCAGGCAAGAGCGCACGACGTCATCTCGACCTGCTCGTCGTTTTCGGTCTTGAGCCTTTGGCCCCTTCTCCGTTTGAAGACCCCAGGATCCATTGGTTCCTACTTGCACTCTTAGGAAACGGTAGCCTAGACCGGCGTGTGGCACCGCTGTCAAGTCAGTACGCGTAATCATAAGTGCGTCTCTCCTATAGTGAGAGTCCAGGGTGACCCCGCAGAGTGGCCCTTGTGGACCCGTCAAACGGGTGTTTGTCTTCGTCCCTGCGCCCGGGACCAGAGTAGCTCGCAGCGAGCGTAGGTGGCCTAGGCCGAAAGCATTCTGAACTTGTCTCATTGATTGCGCTCCAAGCTGGCTCATGCCTTTATGTGACCAAAGCGGTAAGCAGTGGAGCTTTCCCTTTACCCACCTTGGTGTCTTAGGTTTTTCACTTAGGCTGGCGTGTGGCACCGCTGTCAGTTCAGTACGCATATCTATAAGTGTGTGTGTGAAACCCTTGGAGTCACAGGGAACCCGTTAGGTTCCTACGTTGTTGGTCGCTGCTTTTAGCTAGCAGCTAGAACAAGAACTCCAGCCATTGCGCCGGTTTGCGTCTATTGTCATGCTTTGGCTTCTTGAACGCTCGTCGTCATCCTCTCGCATTGCGATCGTCGACTTTTCGCTTTGAGATATGGGCCTGGCGGCCTCTTTCTTTCCATGGTTGGACCTCCAGGATGCTCAAGCCCCCTTACATGTCTTTCTCAGGAATATAATCGCCTAGCTTGCCGTGTGGCGAGTGGCGTTCAGTTGAGTATGCATTTCCTAAGTGTGTGTGCGCGAGCACCTTGGATTCATAAGTCGCCTGTTGGTGTTTTGAGTTTCTTTGTAGGGACTAGCGGCCCACTTCTCGACTAGCCAACGAAGATAGAGAAATGGGTGGACGAGTCTGTGGGCGCACAGGCTTGTACCTGCTTGACTTGCTCAGGCTGTTTCAGGTCAACCAGGTTGGTGTAAAGTGGTTGCGCTCTGCAGATACGCGCTTGTCGATCCAGCCTTTGAGACTCAGAGATTCACGAGTTCAAGTTTGGAGGTTCGCGTACATACCCACTCTGGTCTCTTAGTTTTTCGCTTGGGCTGGCAGGTGGCAAACCGCATTCAGTTCCGTACACGTTTCCAGAGTGTGTGGAAGTAGGGAGGCCCCCATCAGCCGTTTCGTTGCTTTGGCGTACTTGCCAGCTTCTTCGTTCTGTTTTGTCCAGGCGGCCAATGTGCTGAAACTCTGCAAGAAGTACCAGCCGGAGACCAAAGAGGCGAAAAAAGCTCGGTTGATGGAGATGGCTCAGCAGAAGAAGGACGGGCCAGCTGGACAGTTTTGAAGATCAAGCGTCCAATGTTTTCTTGGAATCAAAGAACTCAACCATACTATGTCTTGCAGCGTAAAGCAGCCAGTGCGTTGATTGTAACTTGTTGAAGCCCTTGATTGAAGCTCTTGACGCCAAGATTCTTTAGGTTACAGCCCTACCGCTGGCCATTCCATTCTCAATGTGGTGGTTAGTGGAAGATGCACTTTGTTTGCCTCACCTCTCATTGCTTGAGGATGGTCAGGAAGTGAAGACTAAGAAGCCACAGGCCGAGCAGGGCATTGAGCGATTCCCGTCAGGGCTTTTTCCCGACAAGCGCGAAGAGTTTTTCCTTAAAAGCAGGAGCGCAAAAAGAGCGTCATACTCAACGCCATCAGCATCATCATCTGCATTATCTTCACGCCTGCGCCGCGTCTTCACACCTCATGATCAGACATTCACATCTTCGCGTCTGCGTATCTCTCACGTTCTCTCATCTCTCTCTCTCTTTCTCTCTTTCTCTTTCTCCTTTCCCCTTCCCTTTTTTAAACATTCTTTCCCCTGTAGGGCGGCGGAGGCAGTGGTCGTGAAAATGTTGAGCGCTTTGCGGAGATCGCGTGTCAAGTGTCAAAAGCTCGGGAAATTGCGATTTCGCGTCAGCTCCCACAACCCTTTTGCGGAGATCGCGCGTGTCAAGTGTCAAAAACTGGGGGTATATCGCGATTTCATTTTTGCTCGCGCAACCCTTGGCGGAGCTCGCGCTTGTCAGTAGCAGTAGGAGTAGTAGTAGGAGTTTGAACCAAGCAGGGTTTACGCCAAACCACGGTTTACAAAGAGTATCGCAAGAATTCAAGACCAATAGCCGGGGCTGGCCCATGCTTTTCACCGTGGACGCATTGAAATCGCGATGTTCCTGCAGTTTTTGAAAGTTTTGTAGTATAAACGGTGGTCGGTGTAGAACGTGGTTTGGTGTAAACGGTGGTTGGTGTAAAACGTGGTTTGGTGTAAAGGGTGGTCGGCGTGAACCATGGTTTGGTGTGAACCTTGCTTGGCGTAAGCCGTGGTCTGGTGTCAACATTGGTTGGTGTAAACCGTGGTGTGGTGTGTTGTAAACGGTGCCTGGTGTAAACCGTGGCTTGGTGTAGACAATGTAAACGGCGGTTGACGTAAAGTGTGATGTGGTGTAAATGGTGGTTGGTGTAAAACGCGATGTGGGGGGCGGCCGGCCACACATCTCTGTGATGTGCGCTTTTGGCGCTGAGCCAATTGCAGGGTGCTGCGGGGTGTGGGTTGGGAGTGTTCGCATTGGGGCCGGTGCGCTGGTGCTGCAGGGTGCCGCTGCCAGGCAACGGCCGAGCATGGGTAATGGTGCCGCTGCAGGGCGCCGGCGCAGGGTGTTGCTGCCAGACGTCCATGAATCCGCCGTGCGCTCTTTGCAGTTTGGGCGGAGGTGGTACTTCAAGGCGCCGCTGCGGAGTTGCTGCCAGTATCGGCGTCGCTGCAGGGCCGCTGCAGGGCACCAACTGGCAGATGTTTAACGGTTTGGGGCCTGAGTGCTGGTGCCATGCTGCCCGCAAACATCTTTTGTTATCTGGGATCTATGCTGCCCCTGCCGTTGGGTGGATACTCTTGGTGTAAAGCGTGCCACAATTTGAATCCATTTCGCTCAAATAAAAACGGTGGACAGCCGCACACTGAACTCTTGTTGAGTCATGATCGAGCTTTTCGATTACTCTAGTATTGGCTTGACACTTGCGTTCACCACAGTTTACCTTGTCTTTGCCTGCAAGCCGACAAAGCCTTTTCAGCCAGCGCCAGTGCGTGGCTGCACCTGCTGCTGTTTCTGCTAATCTGCTCGTCTGCACCATCTCGTAGTCTTCAATGGCTCTTGCGCCTCCAACCAAGCTCAGCAAAAGGATTGTGACTTGTTGCCTCGTCTGAAAACGTCTCAAACTCTGCCTCTTCTTCTCGACCACTCTGCTGGATGAAGTCGAGGCCAGGCTCAAGAAGTGGATCGTCGCAATGGCCAGCATCAACAAAGAGCCAACAAATCCACATCGCCACTGCATGACTTCTTCGCGAACGCAAAGTTCGTTGAGTTTATGATGTCCTGAATCATGCTCATCTGCATTCGCCACGTCATTCTTTCTCGCAAAGTTGTTCACGTAAAGGTCATTCTCCTTCTCGCGCTTCTTGTGACCCATGGGCTCAACCTTTCAACATTTTGCACTGGGCTCATGCTTCCTTCTCCAGACCAAAGCTCTCCCGCTGGCACCTCAATCTCCATCCAAGACCACGTTCTCATCTGGCGTGATCGAAGGCTTGCAAACTCACGATGTTCCACACCACCATGGCTTCATAGTCCCTAAGCCCTAAGGAAGCTAAGCCACAGTAGCATTGCCTGTGTAGGGCTCCACTACCATCGACGTTTGCGTGCGTCATCTTGCGCAGCGGTCACGCTTATCCAAACAACTGCACGGACACATTCGACATTCTAGGCAATTTGAGACATCTCTCTCGTGATAGGTCGTACGTCCATACCTAATCAAAATCGCGCGCGGCGACATCAGAAGTCTTGCGCTGGCTCAAGCTCCTGCGGCTTTGCCTCCAGTTGCAAAGGAGAATACGCTTGCGTTTGAGCGTGTCGTTGAAGAGTTTGAGAATATTTCGCCCAGCAACTACCCTGACGAGCTGATGACGGCGTGTTGTGACGCGCCAAACTACGTGGGCGCCTACATCAAGTCCTTGGAAGTGAAGCCCCATGATCCGAATGGGCCCCAGCCAGCGGACGTGGATTCAGTCAACCGTTTCGAAGACTACAGGGAAAGCGTGCAAACTATGCCATGCTTACGAACATTGGTCGAACGAATGCCCCAGCACCCTCACGGTCTATGCCTGCCTCAGGTAAACTACCACGTCGACGTCAACCGCGGGAGTGAGGAGAATCTTTCAGATTGGCGCATCTTCCTCGCGTGGGCGTGACAGATATGCAGGACGATCAGAGAGCGCACTTTGTATCAGGAACAAATGTATCTCTTCTACCTCTGGCCTTTGGAGCGCGCGTGGAAGAAGGATGTGAGCATCTACGCCTGCAAGATTGCCAAGGTGGAGGACTCTGGAGAGCAAGTTTGGGATAGGGGGCGTCAGTCTTGGCTGAGCTCTGGCAGGCAGATTCGCCATGCTGGCAACAAGGAGATGTACCTGCAGAGCCCTGACTCTACGCTTCAAGTTCCCGTGATCTACGAGCATCTGGAGCGCAAAGGATTGACGCGCTTGATGAGGGCAATCCCTAAATGATTGTGCAGGAGTGAACGTTTCAAGAATGTGTGGGACATCCTGGATGAGAAGGCATTCGTGACGAAGACGCTTGGCGCTGGATTCGTTGATCCCAGAGCGCCAATTCCACTGAACTAACAACGATAGCGATGAATGGTGCTTGGAGATCAAAGCATGCGTCGCGTGTTCGTCGCGCGCCAAAACAACCATCAGACCGAGAACGTGTGTTAAAATAAGTCACGCATCTACCCTACAAGTCGGGGAGAAACAAGAAAGTTGCTCAGGAGACTGAAGAGAGTGCGCAGCGTGAACTCCCAAAGATTCAGTGTGATCTCTTCTTTTCAGCTGGAGGCCAGGGAGACAGTCTACTCATGGTTGACGCGTGGACAAACCGGATTCAGGTTGAGCAGCTTGCGTGGCGCAGACCATCAGGAGAAATGGTGGCGTGGAGACAGTGTTGCAGCCAGGGATTTAATATATATATATATATATTTATTGTTGGAAGAAAGAATGGCGCAGACGGTGGTGAGAGAAACGCAAGGAGAAGACGCGCGAGATTATACGGAGACTGGAGATGGACAGGTTGCAAATGGCAGCTGGACGATTAGTGGCTGAATCAAGTTCAAGAGCGGCTGAAGCTGACGCTGTGATGGAGGAAAATGAAGTTGCGCTGTTTGAATTCAGGACTCGACGAAGTCAGTGATCCTGAGGAGTGGATGAGCTATCATCATGCCAGCTCTGAAGACTCATGAAGTGAAGCCACACGTGCAGCTCTTTCCAGAGACGGGACCGCCGCGGTGGCAGAAATTCTAATTTTTGAGGCGGGGTGTCAGACAGTGGAATCATGACCCCTGCACAGGGATGACACACAAACATGAACCTGTGGCAGTGTCTCGAGAGTCTAACTGTGATATAGAGGTTTTAGAGCAAGTGCAAGTGCCTGGGGTTGATACGGCGACGACGGTCGATGGACCATGAGCGTGTGGTTCACCCCGCAAGCAGAGAGGGTGTTTGTGGCAAACTGGTTGTTTCTGTTTTCAAAAGGTGTCATACTACATCCCAGCTCCTGCTGACAGCTCGAGGTTCTGAAGTACGGCCTGAATCACGTGACCACCTTGGTTGAGCAAAAACTGGCCAAGCTAGCTGGAACCTTGAATTTTGAGCCTCACAACATCTTGAACTTGCAGTCAAGAATTGGTTTTAGTCAGCAAGTGACAGGTCAGGTTTTATAAATCAACAACTGTTATGCATTACTTTTGAACAATGTCCGCTTTGGCCTTGCACCAATGGGTGAGGTGATTATCGCGCACGACGTGGATCCAATCGAGTTGGTTTGCTGGCTTCCCGCCCTGTGCCGCAAAAAGGCCGGGTGGACGACTGCGTGACGTTGTTGTGAAGTTGGAGAGACAAACAAGACTCGAAATTTAATCAATTACCAGCCTTTTTCATTTTTTAAACCAGGACCTTCCAACAAGTGGTTGTTTTGCGGCAATTAGTTCAGTCTATGCAGGACGTGCCCTATTGCATCATCAAGGCGGGTTGAAGCAAAGCCGCAAGTGGTAACACGTACCTGGCAGTCGCGGAATCCCAAAAGGCCCCCTCTTGAATTTTCAGCATCCCAAGATGGCCGGAAACTTCTTGCCGGGGAGCAATGTCAGGGCAAGTCCCGCTTGGGCCAGCTGATCCACCAGAAGGCTGGCTAAGCCTGGGCCGCACGTGCCCAGGTTTGCTGCGAAACTTTCACTGTTCCTAGGCAGTTTGCCACTTGTATTTGTATTTGGCGCAAGGATAATCAATAGGAACCAACTGTTGTAGGCCTGTGCTTGCGTGGCCATCACTAGCGTGAAGTCTGAGGATGAGAAGGACACCATGGCAATGAAGGGAGCAGCGCTTTGCAAGGCTTCTTAAGAGTAGAAGTTGGCAGTTCAATCATACAAGGTAGCATGCGCACCTCACAATTACGTGTACCAAAATTGATTTCATTTTCTGGTCTGAAAAAAAGGGTCAAATTTCCGAAACAGTTTGGAAACCAAGTCATTAAGCCTGAACCCTTTTACGTCCTAGGTAGTAGCTTCTTAAGCTCGGTAGTTACCCCGTCGTACGGATGGACTGTTTGTCATAGGCATCCCGAGGATTGTAGAATTGGTTGTCCCTGGCCATCGGTCCTGCAAACATGACTGAGACGGTGAAATGACCATTGCCCGCAGGAGTTGAGCACCCTCATCAACAACTTCAAAGCTCAGTTCAACGACAACATGGAAAACCGACGCCGCTGGGGCGGAGGCAAAGGATTGTTGCCCATGTGTTTTCTTTTTCGGCAGTCCCACAACAGATTGAACGAATCATTTAAAGACTTGATGGGAGACAGTTGTGAGGTTGATGTTTTCAGTTCTTTTGTGACACAGTCTTTCATGCGTTCTGTCAGCCTTTCGCGGTGCCATAGGCATCATGGGCATCAAGTCGCAGCATGTGACACAGCGCAGGGAGCGAGCCATCCAAGCTGAGAAGGCCAAGAAGCTGGGCCTCCAACTTGCCTAAAGGAAGGCTTCTTAGAACCAAGCAGAGGACGGCGACCAGAAAGACAAAAAGGCATCATGTGGGCCTTGTGGGGGAAGAAGGCTCACTCAACTTGTAGAAGTTGATGGTGCGAAAGGACCGCTGTAACCAGTTGCCGTTTGCTTTTTAGTTCAGAGACGGTGCAAGCTAAAATGTGAGCATTCAGGCGAAGTGAAGGCAGCAGACTTGGCTGAGGCCGTGAGCGGTGAACTACGTGAAGTACCATGAGGATCTTCAACAGGAGTTCAAAAAAGGCGCATTTGACTCCGGTACGGGTCAGGAAGCTTCTTGTGGCCAGCTTGTTGCACAACAGGTCTTTTTAAGCGCAGGGCCAATACCTTCAAGGCCAACAGCCAACATGCGTACTTTGCCGCCGAACCCATCCAGTCTTTTGTTGTAAACAACAGATTTGCGCCAAGGCAAGTTATATAATTCCACAAATAAATATGTATTAGTATATTATATACATTCTTTGGAGGCCAGGGAATGTGGTGGGCTAGTGAAGTGAACAACGCAGGCTTTGGATCTGGGGATGTCGAGAGGAGCAGCGATCTCTGCACGCTTTGGACCTGCTTTGTGTTTCACTTGTGATTACCCATGAAGAAGCTTGCATTTCGAAGGTTCAGTTGAAACCCCTCCCTCAATCCCTGCAGCTTGGAGTTGAAACAAACACCACTGGCAAATCAATTTTCCTCGGCTGACTGCATTGTGCAATTTATTGATTCTCATTGGTCCCAGGTCTCAAGCGCCTCAAGCGTTAAAATTGAGGGAGACAGAGGCAGACTCTCAGGCACGATGCATGTGGTGTTTCCAGAAGTTGGCTTCCCATATATGATTGTTGTTTTGGTCTGTGATGAGGTCATGAGTCATGAGGTAAAAAAGGTTCAGTGAACTTATTGAGATGTACCAAGGGGGACTTGCAATCTGTCCATGTTACACATGGACTGGTATAGGAGGCACCCACAATGGTCTCATGGCCTTAGCTCCTTTGTCTCCTTTATCTTCTTATCGATGCAGATGCCTGCCGAAGAGAAGGACTCGGAGATTTTCATGGTGCAGTTACCTGTTATGCTGAATGTGCGGGCCCACTCTGCCTCTTAACAGCGTACCACCAATCAGCTAGTCTCCTGTTCTGATGACAGCCTTGAGGTCTGAATGAGATATACGGAGGAGAAAGACCCATGAAGGGATCGACGAAGGGGTCAAAAAAAGCAAGTTGAAGCCTGCGTTTGAAAAGGTTATTTAGCCACTCTTGGTAATAGTGAGCACAAAATAGAGCTAGGATTTGAACTCGTTGAAAGTCCAAATGTTTTCCTCTACTTGCTGGGTACGTCCCCTCTCAAGATCTGAGGGAGTCTCTTTGAGTGCAAGCGAGAGCATAGTAGTAGCTGCAATTAAGTTGGAACATGAATTCCACATTTGCATTGAATGCAGACAAAGGCACCCGAGAGCTGCGTTTCCGTTAGAGCCGCGTTTCCGTTGCTAGGACCTACCAGAGATGCAGTTTGAGCTGGGCAGTGATGGAGGCTTCTGCGTGCGTCCGCTGAAAAAGGATCGGCAGTGTCTGAGAGAAAATGTTGACATCAGAGGGCTGAGGCAAGGGTGACAAAGGTGGTGAGGTGACAAAGGGAGCATGACATTTTTGAACTGTGACACTGGATTCATGCATCGTTGATTGTGCGTGAACTTGGTAGGTTGCAGCACTGTTTGACCATGTGACCCTTCGTTATTACAGTAGTTTGCTTGGTGAGCATGGCTATGGCTTGCTTCTACCTTCAGTGCCATGCTTTTTCCTAGCTTTCGGCCCAGAGTTGCTGGGGACAAGCCTGCATGGCCATTGCTGCCTGCGTCCGGCAAATTGGGACCAAGCAGCCAAGCTTAAGCATTATAGTCGACAGTCGAGCAAAAATAAATATCAGAGTCTGGCCATGGCCTAGTTGAATCGAAACTATGCTAGGTGTTGCCACTTGTATGTTTGCTGCCAAAGAACCTGTGGCATGGTTGGCAACCAGCATTGACGAATGAGGCCAATGCAAGCTTCCGGACGGATTGGCCTGCGCCATGAGGCCAAGGACTTCTGCGGTGTTCTGTTGCGGTAGAAGGGGAGTGAGTTCTTTTGAGTTCTGTGAATTCCAGGCTACGTTGATGGCCCAGGTGCGGCCACAGACAGCAGTTTAGACAATAATAGCTATGCTTGAACATAGGATACCAGGCCATATCCCGAATACCACCGAATCTCAGTGAAGATATCGAAGTTGCCTTGTGAAGCCATCCTTCGCACATGTTAAGCTTCACACGTCCACTGCCAGACCCTACGGGCTCACAACCCTCCCACGGCAACTGCAGAACTGCTCACAAGGCCTAGCTGCACCAAGTCCTGTTTCAGATCGATTGTAGAGGTATTTGCTGAAAGACACACAATCCTTGTGTCCCCTGTTTGAGAAGCAAGGATAGACAGTTGCAGCCCTTGACATATTTGAGTTTATGCTTGATTGTTTGTGTCAGGTCGGCAGCTGCAAAAAGTCAAGGAGTCGCCCATGCCAGCTACAATGCTGAGCGTTCTGGCTTGGCTGTCATACACTCAAAAGGACATCATGCTATATGCAAGGAGACATGACATCAGGGAAGGGCAGAACAGCACCATTTCTTTTGGGCAGATTCTTCTTACCACATTGATGTTTTGCAGTTGCTGAGGTCCTGGCTGGGTCAGCGGCAGGCGCTTGCCGCCGACGTGTCCCTGGCAGGTGTGACCATGTGGCTCCAGCATTTGATTCTGAGTCTGCTGATTCCAAGGCGACACCACTCATCTGTGGTTGCAACCGCCACGGCAACACTGGAGGCAAGGCAGCGTTTGGTGCGGCCTAAGCAGCTAAGCTCGCGTTAGGATGAGAGGTCACACACCCCAAAAACTAGAAAAGAAAGGAACAGTAGAAAAGAATAGCCGAAAGAAGTTATATTTTGTCAATAGCAGTGGGACGACAGCATACCATATGCATGCACAGTATACATTAGCGTGTCACGCCTACATTTGGCTCAAGACTCCCGTAGAGGAAGTGGAAAACAAGAGCGCGCCATCGCTGTCTACGAGGGAGAGGATAGTCTACTCATACTTCCCGTTGAGCAGATTAATATCCACACGCAGGTTATCAGCCGTAGCCGCTCTGAGGTTACGAGCTCTGAGAGACCAATACTGCAATCAAGACACAACTCATAATGTCGAGTTCTGGAGGAAAGAGCAGTGGACAATTCTCTTTCGCCGCTCCGGGAGGAAATGCATCGCAATCATCACCTGGCTCGATAACCGGTGCCAGCTCTGCTGATGCTGCCACAGTGATGACCATGCCTTCCACATCACAAATGTCAGGTGAAGGAAGAATCGCTCCACTGCAGGCGACTTCCACAGGATCTGATGTTCGACTTGGGCAACGCAAAGAGAGTCGTGAAGAGACTCACGAGATCTACATCGCTGAGAACAACATCGAGGAGATCGCCAAAGAGGGATATTGGAAGAGTTGAAATTGAAGATGCTAAGGAACTGGAAGAGAGAGAAATTCGACTATTGGAAGAACTCCGCACTGCTAGAGGATCGTATCAGTACTTGAACGACGAATACAATTGTTTGCATGAAGGATACACGAGACTCTATGCAGAATCGCAAGAATAATTTTCGCAACTTTCAAGGTGCAATATGGCTATGGGCACTCACCTACAAGAAATGATGCAAGAGGATGAAGGAGCAACCATACGAATCGAAGAACTCGAAAGGAAGCTCAGACTTGCTGAATCATTGGCAGATCACATCTACACGAAGTACGAGGAGGGACATATCCTTTTCCATATTGGCACGTTTCACCCAAATTACTTTTTTTGTTGAGGCCGCGGGCATGTTGGTACACTTGGCTGTTTTTTCTCTTCCGTTTGACTTTGGCACGTGGTCTTCTGAGTAGTAGTGTGCGTAAAGCACCGTAAAACATGAAAAAATTAAGTCCGACAAGTGTAAGACAGGTGGTTTTGACAGTTTTGTTTGTCGTGTTTGTTGCTTACGAAAGCTGGCTCCAATGGGCTGTCAAATTTGGTGCATGTTTGTGCCAATCTTCGGCGATCTTGGCGCATTCTTAGGGCATATCCTTCGCATTTCACCCAATGTAGGGGCTCTCTTGAGGCTTCTCGTGAAGGTATGTTGGAAGTGATTGGGGCCGGGGGGTCTAGATCAGGGCTATGTTGAAGGCTTTGCTTTGCGGGCATGTGGGTCCACTTGGCTGCTTTTTCTTTGCCGTTTGACTTAGGCATGTGGTCTTTTGAGTGGTGTGCGTAAAACACCGTAAAACAACGAAAAAATTAGGTCCGACAAGCGTAAAGATCGCTGTGCGGCCAATTCGCTGCTATTTGCAGTGCATTCATGCCTCTTGACATCGTCAATGTGCATTTTGACTGCGCAGGCTCGCAAAGTCTTGGGGCCCACGGCGGGTGCTTCTAGCGACTGCGCTCTCGTTGTGGCGCCGTGCGCCGTGCGCATTTTCGCACACGGCAGGCGCAAGGGAAACCTCGTGTTTTGGTGCTTCAAAGTCGACTTCTCGTGACAGGCGCCAGGGATCGGAGCTGTTTCACTTCGAAGTGCAGTTTTCTTGGCAGGCGCAGCACTTTGGGCATGTTGGTGATCGTCGGGGAGCTCAGATTTCGTGACAGGCGCAGTGAATCGTGACTTTTGGACATGTTGCTCGTTTGCAGATTTCGTGGCAGGCGCAGCACTCTGTGACCCTCGATGTGCAGATTTCGTGGCAGGTGCACCTCGAAGTGCAGATTTCGTGGCAAGCGCAGCACTTGGTGAACCTCGAAGTGCAGATTTCGTGGCAGGCGCAGCGCTTGGTGAACCTCGAAGTGCGCATTTCGTGGCAAGCACAGCGCTTGGTGAACCTCGAAGTGCAGATTTCGTGGCAGGCGCAGCGCTGGGTGAACCTCGAAGTTCAGATTTCGTGGCAGGC